GCGCGCACACACCCACACCCTCTCGCAGGGTTACAGGTCTGTGTGTGCCGTACAACCGCACCGTGCACACACACACACACGCACCCCCCGCAGGATTACAGGTCTGTGCGTGCTGTACAAGTGCAGCACCCCCCGTCTTCCCCACACCTGTCAGCCCCCTAAAAGACACTTCCCAGACCTGCAGGGCACCGTTACTGCCACCTCTCTGCACCGTTACTGCCACCTCTCAGTCCAGATGCCTTTTGGGGCAGCAGATGCTGCTGCTCAACTGGCCAAAGAACCTTCCCATGCCCAGGACTTGGCTTCTGAATTGCTCTTGTGCAAGGCAGCGCAAAGCCCCAACAGCTCAGCAATTCCTGGAACCCTCTCAGCTGCTCACGTAAGACCGAGTCCTGAAAGGGATTGAGCATCGCCAGCCGGAACCGTGCCGGGTCAGCCGGTTACCTAGCCTGGCGCTGCGTGCATAGTAACCAGCACTTACCCAGGTGCTCTGCCAGCTGCCGCCCTCTCTCCGACGCCACGACGCGCTCGTCCTCCATGTCGCACTTGTTACCCACCAGCAGCACCTGTGCGTTATCCCAGGAATAGGTCTTGATCTGGGTTGACCTTAAAGCCGTAGCAGGGGAACAAATAACCACAATATTCAGACAGCAGGGCTGTGGGCAGCTGGTTCTAGACGAAGGCCCAGGTAGTTAAAGGCACTGAAGTGGTGCTGTGCTCCGTGTTGCAATGCCCAACGATTTAGGAGCCTTTCGCTCATTTTCAAAAGCGATTCAGGCACTTAGGAGCCAAAATCCCATTGACAGTTAATGCAATGTAGTCTCCTAAATCAGTTAGGCACTGCAGTGCTGAGCACAGCAATACATCAATACCTTTAAAGGCTCTGGGCCCAGAGTCCCAGATCCCAGCCAGAGACTGGAGCCCGGTTCTCTGGGCAGCGGCAAGAGGCCTTCACCCCTCAGCCTCTTAGCAGAGAAGTTTCGCCTTCGCCCCATTGAACTCAAGCCATCAAAGCCGGACCGCCAGAGGGCATGTCAGAGACCCACCACAGCTGCAGCCACAGAGTGTGAAGAAACCAGCAAAGCAGGAAGAGACCTGAAGAGGTAGCTAATACGGGGCAGAGAGAGAAAATTCCTGTAGAAACCAGTAGCAAGATGCATTGGTGGTCAGTGCACCAGAGAACGGGAGCAGAGGATGGGGACAGCAGAGACGAAAAAGCTCAACTCCTGTGCTGGTGGCAGCCTGGGCACAGCATGGCTCGTATAGAATAGACAGCAGCAGGGCAAGCTATGCTCCCCCCCCCCCAACCGCTCTGCAACTGGCCCTAGCGTGCCCAGCTGGGGTGTCCAGGGCTTCGGCTTCTCTGCAGAGACGGCCCCGAGGGGCACGCCTGGGGGGCTGCGCGCGAGTGTGCTGAAAACGCTCCACCTGCTCGCTGCACCTGGGCACCAAGTGCCAGTGGGTGGGAAAGGATTTCGGTCGCTGCCCATCCAGGAACCAGCCTCCTAGGGGGAGAGCTCTGGACCCCGTCGCCAGCAGCCAGAGCCAGCCAGCCAGCCACCAGCACGGAATGGGCTTGCGGGATCAGCCCAGCACAGGCTCGGGTAAAGGCCAGGAGCAATGCCCGTACATGGGATTCTCCAGCTACACAGCAGGCCTGGTGGTGGGCAGAGCACTAGGGTGAATTACTGGGAGATTCCCAGTGATCCAGGGCCGAAAGCAGAGCCCGGGGAAGCGGGAACCAGGCCACACTAGACTGACCGGACCCTCTCTGAACACACTCGGGGGCTGTTTCGTTCTTGCACTGGGGAGGGAGCGGGCGGCCCGAGCAGCCAGCCAGGCTCAGTGCCAACGGGACACGTTCCGGCCCAGATTCCAGCTCTCGCACTTGCAGCTCCTACTACGGCCTGTCAGGGGCTGCTTGGGGCACCTTGGCACCCGCTCAGTGCCGCTCCCCTGGCCTGCTGCAGGCGTGTTCCTGGGGGCTCTGAGCTCGTCTCGCTGTCGTGGGCTGGGGGAGGAGGCTCCTGGCCCAGAATTTCTGCAAGGGCTGCACTGAGTTTGGCTCAGGCGCAGCCGCAGCGCGGGCAGGTTATTAGCCAGGCTGCTGACAGCACAGAACTCAAGGCCAGGGGACTGCCCAGCGGGGGGAGCCATGCGGGCTGCATTACAGCTGCAGGCACGAAAGCACCAAGCCACGCAGCCGCCACGCAGCCCTTGTCCCCTCACACCTGGGCAGAGGCCAGGAACCACAGTGCACAGGGGAGGGAGAAGCTCCAGGTGGCAAACCTTGCCCTGTCTCTGGGCGGCTCCCGGCCCCACCCCGCAGAGATGTAGGAAACACCCATTTCAAATGGGGTGGGGGGGCCGCAGCGGAGAGATGGCCAGCACCAGCCGTGCAGAGTCCAAGCTGCAGCCCTAGGAGGAGGCAGGGGGTGCAGGTGCCAGGTGTGTGTGGGGGGAGTTTCCTTAGCAGAGGGCAGGGGAGGACTGTAAGTGGGCGACATCTTGGCAAGCTTTGAGAAGGAGCAGCCCCTTTGGAGCAGGGCTCTGCAGCAGAGCAGGCCCCAGAAGGCACCTGGTGACCAGCGGGCAGCAGAGAGAGTCTGTGCTGTCCGCAGAGCTGCCACGCGCAGGGAGTGCTCCCAGTGGCACCACAGGCCGTGGGCATGCAGAGGCATGGCATGGGGGAGGGGTCCCAGCTGGCGTGTTCGGGCCTGGGGCTGGGCAGAAGCACAGACAGACACCTGCTGAGTGGCCAGGCTGCTGGGTCCCAGCATGGCTAAAGTGACTGCGGTTAGAAGCTGGCTCTGCACAGCTCCCCCAGCACGATGGAGAGGCTCCCGCCCCCGGCTCTGCTAATGAGACGCCGGCACGGCAGTGCCAAGGCTCAGCGTCACTTTCCCTTCCCGGTGCCCTCAGAGCCGCCCGCTCACCAGTCCTGCACGGCGTTGAAGGACTCCTCATTGGTGATGTCGTACATCAGGATGAAGCCCATGGCCCCCCGGTAGTAGGCGGTGGTGATGGTCCGGTACCTCTCCTGGCCCGCGGTGTCCTGGGGAGACCAGAGCAGGGTCACTTGGGAGCAGCAGTGCCAGGAGCTGCCCTGAGTAATTCAAGGCTCCCTTGGAGACACCCCCCCCCCCACAGCACGAAGCATGGCCACATCCAGGGAGAGCCCAGAGGCAGGCCCTAGGCCGGGGTGCCAGAGCTCAGGGCAGGAAGGACGTGGGAACCCACCCTAACTCCCGTGCTGCCCCGGAGCTCCAGCACTGCGAGACGGGCAGAGACGGATCCTGCCTCTGAGATTTAAAGAAGGAAAATCCAATGTTTAGCCAAGTCTCTGGAACTTTCTCCCAGGGCTGCTGACCCCCACCCAGAACGATCTAGGGCACAGGGCCAGGCCAGTGTGCCCCACTGCCCCATACAGCGTCTCCTGGGCTGGGAGTGCAGGACACGGCAGAGCGCCTCTCCCAACCCCGGCCCAAGCCCGGCAGTGAGATCACAGCCAACCAACCCTGCGTGTGCCACAGGGGTGGGGAGGGGGACGGGGCCTCTAGGGAGCCCAGCCAAGGAGCGGGGGCAAGGGGGGGTGTGACTCCCTGTCACTGGGGATTCCCAGGGCGGCTGGAAGGCTCAGCCAGGCCTGCCGCGGAGCTGCCTGCGATTCGCCATGGCAACCGGCCCCTGTGCCAAATGGAGCCCTGGTCCCACACTCCGCGCCCAGCTCCAGGGACAGGCTGTGGCTTGCTGCCTCCCGCGGGCGGCTCTCGCAGCCAGAGCTGGTGGGCCCAGCGGCCCTCCCTTCCCAGCCCTGCATGCGGCTGCACCGAGGACAGGGCTGGGGCCAGCAAGCGTCAGAGAGATGCCTGCAGACCCCTCCTCCATGGCCCCTCAGGTCACTGCACCCCACGCCCCAGGCCTCCAGCCATTGCTGAGACACCCCCCGCCCCACGGGCCAGACCCTGCCCTGGGGATCCGTGCAGCGGGGGCCCTGCCCCAGACCTCCCCGCAGAGGCAGGCAGAGGTGGGGAAGCGCCTCACAGTCTGGCTTCGGCCCCCTGGTTCCTGGCAGCAGGGGCAAACCCCACCCCTGGCAGGAGGAGTCCGAGTGGTCCCATTTTGGCACTTTTTGCCTCCCAGCAAGGGACCGTTCTGCTGCCTGCAATGCTACCAGGGGAGCTGAACGCAGCCCCAGCAAAGCACCCTGAACTCGGCTCTCCTGAAAATTAAGCCCCACTCTGCACTCCCAGGGCAGTGGCTTCGTTCGGCTGGGAACTGGCCCCTCCCCGCTCCCCCAAGAGTCACCAGGCTCCGCGCTGCTCTGGCTCCAGCACCCAGAGCCTTTCCCCGCTGCGGCAGGCAGCTCAGAGCCGCGCAGCAGCATTTTACATCCCACGGTAAGGAGGGCAAAGCCAGCGCAGCGAAATCTGTCACTCCAGCTGCTCCTTCAGCTCTGCTGCTTAGACTGTTCCGGGCCCTTCCGTGATTAAGCTCTGTGCTAATTGGTATCCGGCCTCCCCGGGGAGTCAGGGAGCCTGCCAGCACACGGCGCCCGTGGAGCACGAGGCCACCTCTGAGCGTCCTGGAGCCAAGGTCTTGAGCTAATGGCGTCTTCCCTGTTAGGAGCCCAGCGCGTCAGAGGCTGTGTGTGTGTGTGGGGGGGGGGGGGGGGGGGGGTCAGCAAAGTGAATCAAGGTGGAGCTGACAGCCCTGGGGTGCAGAGCAAGGGGCAGCCCGGGACTGCTCTGCAGGGGCCCGGTGGAGGAGCTCGGAGAGGCGATGCTGTCAAGCTGGGCTTTAGAACAGCCCTGAGCGGGGAGTGCTCAGGTTCTAGGAGGCAGAATAGGCCACAGCCGCCGCCATCCCATGCGGACCCCAGTCCCCAGCTGCACACAGCACACCGGGACCCCTCTTCTGAACGGGCCACTCTGCCAGGCCACATGGGCAAGGAGGCTGTGGGGCGGGCAGCGGGCTGGCAGCAGATGCAGGAGGCTCATGCTTAGTGGAAGCGGTTAATTAGCAACCTGTGTCCTGGGGGAAAAGAGCGTTAAAGAAACCGGAACCGGCGTCACCCACGTGATGTCTGCCCTTCGGAAAACACTCCGGGCAGGTTATCATTCCGTGAGCGTCTCCCCCAGCAAGCACTATCCCATGGTGCCCACCATGGACTGCCCACCGACGGCCTGGGGAGAACACACCAGCCGCGCTGAGCCAGGCACACCACGCAGCAGCCACGGCCGGAGCGCCAGTCTAAGCTGCAGGGAAATCGAGGGTGGCCGAACGTGACTCCCCGGACTGAGGCCTGGCCAGGACTCTGGGTTATCACCCCAGCCCTGGAGGGGCCGGCTGGGCCAGGGAGGTTTCAGTGCACGTCTCCTGACCCGGATGGCTGCCCCACGCGTGACGTACAGCCCCACAGAGCCCCCCTCACTGCATCCCCCACCCACCAGCGCATGCAGCGATCACAGCCCCTACCCAGATCTGCAGCTTGATGCGCTTGTCGTTCCTGTAGATGGTTTTGACTTTGAAGTCGATGCCGACGGTGCTGACGAAGGCGGGAGTGAAGGAGTCGTCCGCGTACCGGAACAGGAACGAGGTCTTCCCCACGCTGCTGTTCCCGATGATCAGGATCTTGAACATGTAGTCGAAGTTCTGATCCGAGGATTCCTTCTGGCCATAGCGGGAGTCGGTAGCGGAAGCCATCTGCAAAGGGAAGCATAAGGCAGAGCTGGGCTGGTGGGGCACGTGCTCCCTGGGGGATTCAGGCATGCTCAGCCCCATGGAGTCACCAGGGTGGCTGCTCCCCACTCAGACCCAGGGACCCCACCATCAGCTTCTGGGAGGTCAGAGCGAGGCCACATCACGTAGTATCACACCCCGTCAACCCTCTGGGTGCAGTAACACGGGCGGGCAGCGTGAACCACCAGAAATGGCACCCAGATATGCCCACCCTGCAACGGGGAGGGGGGAGGCTCATGGGGGGCTCTTCCTGCGGGTCATATCTGGTGTCATCCGCAAAGGAGCACTGAAGCGTCCAACACCCTGGAAGGAAGGTACAAGGTTTCCCAGCGGGGGCGGAGCGACCAGCGAGCTGGGAACAGAATCCAGGTCTACGCACACCCAGAACGGCTCGGTCAGATTTTAAACGTGCTCCTCTCTGCCACGCCGTTTTAGGATAACCCTGAGACCCCAGCCCTGCCTGAGCCTGGGCCCTGCCCCGTCTGCCCCCAGCTGCCAGTGGGGAAAATCACAGCACATGCCACCCACCAATGGGGCTGAAGCAGGAAGTTGGGCCCGGCAGAGGACGCCAGCCCCGAGCCATCTGGGCTCTCTGCTCCAGCCTCTCCCAGATCTAGCTATTCCACAGGATCTCCCTGCCCTGTTCACGAGCCGGAAGCCGTGAGGCCCATCAGACCAGAGGCCCGGGCTCCCTTTCTGTCCCAGCACATACTCGGGGTATGTTACACCCAGAAGTCAATGAGGGGGAAGAGGCCTATTCCACCCAACCCATCCCCCAGCCAGCGCAAGGCTGATCCTACAGCCTGCTCCCCAGGGCAGTACCCAGGGCAAGGCTGTATGACTCCAGGCACAGCTCCCCCCATCCCGCCCTGGAGAGCCCCATCACGGCCTAACACCGTCCTGCTACCCACCTCGAGTGTCTCCATCTTCATTCCATCCCCTGGCCTTGCCCTCAGCAAAGCGCCCCCTCAAATCCCCACAGGCTGCGGCTGCTTGGCCGAGCTAGGCAGAGTTCCTTCCCGATCCCCTCGGAGCTCAGCCCCTCTGGCCCCCCAGACCTTCCCGCGCTTTGTCTGCAAAGGGCTGGCACGGTGGGCCTGGACAATACTGCATTTCCCCCTCGCCCCTTTGACTTGGCTAAAGTCTCCCGCTGTCCTTGCCAGCGATCCTTGCACCCCCTGCCAGGGCTGAAGAGAGGTGCTGGGTGGGGACAGTCTTGAAGACTGAGGCCCTTTGATTATCCACTGAGCAGGCTCAGCACCCTGGGCAGCTGGTATCAGCTCCCCTCCCCCCAGCCCCGGGGAGTTCGGGCACCATGGCCCATTCCGGCCGGGGCCCCTGGGGGGACGGGCAGCACGGGGGCCAGTCCAGTCCAGGCGTGGCAGCAGTTCTGTGCCGGGCCCCGCAGAGCCACCAGGGATCCAGACTCATGACGACGTTTTTGAAGCCTGTTGCTGGCAAGTGATGGATATTCAGGGTCTGAACAGCTGGTGGAGACACAGCGAGCGGCAGCTGCGAGTGGAGAACTCCGGGTCCTTGGCACTGTGCACAGCCTCTGTGTGTGGAAAGAGGCAACACTGCTCCCCGGGTTCAGTGGGGCAGGAAAGAGACCATGGGGAAAATGGCAGGTCTGCCAGACAGGCCCCGAACAGCCCACGCGGCTCACGGCGCAGGCAGGACGGCTCTCTGCAGTACCCGCAGCTGCACTCGGAGTCCTAGACGGAGCGGGAGCCTAGCTCGCAGGAGCCTTATGGCTACCAGCCTGGGGAAGCCATACGGGTGTGGCCAATTCCTCCCTGGAACGCTGCTCTCAGCAGTGTCTGCACAAGGGCCTCTGCTTCTTCTGCCTATCACAACCTTTGTCTCCTTCCTTCCCAGCTGCTAGAGTGAACTGCAGCAGGGCACCAGACCACGCTTAGCATGTGCCACAAGTCCTGCTTCCTCCCCAGTGTGGAGGGGCTAACCCAGGGCAACCTCTAGCCCAGACTCCTGGGCTGAGAGTCCACCCAGCTTCAGCACAAAGCAAACTCAGGTCTTTGCCGCAAACTCCTCCACTGCTAACGTAGCTGTGAACTACCCCAGCACGTGCATCAATCAAAACAAGGACCCCTTGGGGCTGCTAACGGAAATGGTGCGATACCCCTGCAATAGTAGGGCCTCCCAAGAGTCTGTACGGGGACCAACAATGTTCAACGTATTCATAAATGATCTGGAAAAGGGAGCGAACAGTGAGGTGGCAAAATTTGCAGAGGATATAAAATTACTCAAGATAGTTAAGTCCAAAGCTGACTGTGAAGAGTTACAGAGGGATCTCACAAAACTGGGTGGTTGGGCAACAAAATGGCACCTCGAGACTCAGTCTAAGTGCAAAGTCATGCACATTGGAAAACATAATCCCAACTATACATACGAAATGATGGGGTCTAAATTAGCTGTTCTCACTCAAGGAGGAGAACTTGGCATCATCATGGCTAGTTCTCCGAAAACATCCGCTCAATCTAAAAACCAGCCAAAAAAGTGAACAGAATGTTAGGAACCATTAGGAAAGGGATAGATCATAAAACAGAAAATATCACAAGGCCACTATATAAATCCAGGGTACACACACACCTTGAATAGTGTGTGCAGTTCTGGTCACCCCATCTCAACAAAATATATGAGAATGGGAAAAACTGCTAGGGGTATGGAACAGCTGCCCTGTGAGGAGAGATTAAAAAGACAGGGACTGTTCAGCTTGGAAAAGAGATGCCTAAGGGGGGATGTGATCAAAGCCATGACAACATGACTGGTGTGGAGAAAGAGAAAGTGAATAAAGAAGCATTATTTATCTTTTCACATGACACACAAGCCAGGGGGTCACATGTTGAAAACAAACAAACGGAAGTACTGCTTCAAGCTGTGGAACAACCCACGGTCACGGTCTGGGACATTGTGAAGGCCAAAAGTAGAACTGGGCTCCAAAGAGAGTTAGATATGTTCATGAGGACAGGCCCATCAATCGTTGTTAGCCAAGACTGTCCGGGATGCAACCCCATGCTCCAGGTACCCCTCAACCTCCAACTGCCAGAAGCACCTGGCACTGGCCACCATGAGAGACGGGACATTGGGCTAGATGGACCATTGGTCTAATGCCAGCATCACTATTCCTAGACCAGTGGTGCACAAAGGCCCAGCGGGGCTCAGAGCACTGCACAGAGACAGTCCCTGCCCAAGAGAGCTTTCGATCGACAGAGACAAGACAGACACAGGGCGGGAGAAAGGGAATACGATCCCCATTTTGCAGGTTGGTAATGGAGCCCAGGGAGGTTATGGGCGGGATTATCAGTGGCCAACTCCCCTGGATTTTCAATGGGAACTGGGTGCCTGGACTCTCTCAGCTGCCTTTGACAGCCCCACCCCAGTGACGCTGGACCTCTGGGGCAGAGCAAGGAACCGAGCCCAGATCTCAAGACTGTCTAGAGCCTTCCCCACTAGGCTGCGTGAATGTGGAGAGGCACATGGCTGACGGAGCACGGCGAGAGAGCCCAGGGCTTCTCCTGGACAATTCAGAGCAAAATTCCTGAGTACCAAGGGCAGGTCTGCAGGGATGCAGCAGGGCAGACAGCACCAGCAAACACTGTTGCTCTAGGAGGTCCCTAGAGCTTTGAATGCAAGAATAGATCCAGGAGGTCTGTATTTACTAGGTCCTGAGGCAAACTCTTTCCCCCCAGGAATTAATGCTCCCCGTGAAGTAACAGTCCAAGTGCACCATGATGTTTTTCCCCATTATATAAGCTTCCTCTAGAGAAACCCTTGAAGCGAACAGCTTGCATGAATAGATAAGGTTCCAATTTCCTTCTTGAGGCAACCAGCCAGTGCGGGCCTTTGATCCATGCAGCTGTGATGTTCCTGCACTCTGCCTGAACCACTGCAAAGCCAGGCCTCCACTACTGGGTCTAACGTGCATCCCGCCAGCCTGGGTGCTGGCAGCAGCCGAATCATGCAAACAAAGTCAGATGTTTTAACATAAGAACGGCCACACTGGATCAGACCAATAGTCCATGTAGCCCAGTGTCCTCCAACAGTGGCTGGGGCAAGACGGGTCAGAGGGAACGAGTGGAAGAGGGCAATTCATTGAGTGATTCCATCCCCTGTTGCCCAGTCCGAGCATCTGGCAGTCAGAGGTTTAGGGACACCCGCAGCATGGGTTGCATCCTTGACCACCTTGGCTAATAGCCATCGATGGACCTATCCTCCAGGAACCGATCTACTCATCTAGATATTTGCCTAGTTTTACAACAGGCAACATAAAAAGCACTAGCGAAGTCAGTACAAACTAAAATTTCATACAGACAATGACTGGTTTATACAGCTCTATATACTACACACTGACGTGTAAGTACAATATTTATATTCCAATTGATTTATTTTACAATTACATGGTAAAAATGAGAAAGTCAGCCATTGTTCAGTACTAGTGTGCTGTGACACTTTTGTATTTTTATGTCTGATTTTGTAAGCAAGTCGTTTTTAAGTGCGGTGAAACTTTGGGGTACGCAAGACAAATCAGACTCCTGAAATGGGCACAGTAGTCTCGAAAGGTCGAGAGCCACTGCTCCACACCATTCATGACTTTACAGACCTCTATCATATTCCACCTTAGTCGTCTCTTTTCTAGACTGACAAGCCCCTGTCTTTTTAATCTCTCCTTATAGAGTAGCTGTTCCATCCCTCTGATCATTTTTGTTGCCTTTCTCTGTACCTTTTCCATTATAAACCCAACTGTGCCCCCCCTACACACCCCATTTTCTAAAGTCATACCAGCCCCAATATTAGTGGGTTAGGTTTAGAGCCAAGGTAGAATCCCCCCCCCCACACACACACAGTTTACCTGAATTGGACATTCAGCTCCCAAATTATGACACCCTAAAAACAAAGGCATTCACTGAAGCTCGTCACGTCTATTACTGTGCCACTTTATAACATAAGGAGCGGGTTCTCCAAGCTGAGATCTACCCCAGGTCTGAGCTGACTTGGTTGTGACCAAACATGAAGAGTTGTTAAACATTTTCAACAGGGGCCCTGTTATGGATCATCAGCCCCCAACAAGTACTGCACAGCACAACGGGTCTGCGAGAGACCCCAAGTGTCCGCTACACGGCTGCCACCCCCCCAGTGCAGACATGGTCTCACTCTCTCTTTTTCCTGCAGAGCCAGACCGCAAAGCTGAACTTGACTCTCCAGGGTCTGTGCGTTTGCACAGCGCCTACCCCAACGGGGCCCAACCTGGCTGTGGCCTTGAGGGACTATTGCAATGTAAATGTCAAACCACCACCACTGAGAGGAGAACCAGCCCTGCAATACCGAAGTGAAGCAGAGACACCATTTGTAAATCCAGACATTAAGAACTGGAGGTCACCATCGCGAAGCTTCAAACATGTCATCGCCAGACCCCAGTGGGAGGACAAGAGCAGGAGACAATTACCTTCACTGAGTAATCACTCTCCTGGGGTGAACAACTCCCACCCTGCTCCCCACCCCCGCATGCACACACGCGCACACACACACACACACACACAGGACCCCTGCTCCTCGCACTGTCGCAGATGCGTGGAGGGCTGGGAGGAGAGGCCAGATGATCAAGATTGGCTGTTTTGCTAAAAGACCTGCTCTGGGAATGATTTTGGGGAAGTCCTGGGGCCCATTTTCAAGAGGGGGAGACACCAGATGCCTGCAGTAGATTCCAAGGCCAGAAGGGCCTAGAAGGGTGCTGTTCCCCTCTGCTATGAGCTTCTTAAGAGGGAGAGCCTGCAGTGAGCCTCAACAGGCTGATTGGAGACCCCACATGTCTCAGAAGGTTCACCAGGGACCACTCCTTGACCCCTCTGTAACCCTGAGTAGCTTTTTTTCGG